AATGTCTTTGTGTCACGTATAATTTTTTACTGATAATCAATCATCATATTTATGGCAATATACTCGGTATAAAGTATTGCCGTCCAGGCTTGCACTTTCAGATATGCTTCGTTTGCTTCTCTATTACGTAGTGCTGGGGGGAAACGATTATTTTGAAAACGATTAATCGGGCGATTATTTGATCGATTAGTCGACTAATCTAACGATTATTTTTCTGTTGTTCAATTCATAAAAAACGTAATGTAAAAAAAACGTCATGTAAATTATTTTTTTTCCACGATACTGTGTCTCAGGGGATCTTAATATTTAAGAACCTATTAATGTGTTATACCAGATTAACGGAAATAATCTCAGCTAACTGACGATACAAACCATGTTTACCAAAACAAAACACAAGTCTCATAAGAAGCATCTAAATGACCCGAGCGAAAAATGCTAACGGACATTGGCACAGAACTCAAGATAAAAGTACCCTTATTACTTATCGTAGCTGCACATACAATATATCCGATTAAAGATGAGACTCCACAGATTATGTAGGTATATAGTATCATCACTGAGTGATCCGGACTCGCGACAGGGGAAGCAAATACAGTCATCACAACACGTACCTTCACAGAGCTTCTAGGGAGATCGTCTCACCACGGTAGCTGCCAATCTGATCAAAAGACGTGTTCAATGGCATTAAAATGAGAAAAAACGCGGCTGAATCGGTTAATCCATAGGTTGTTAACGTCTATGTATAAAAAAATGATTGAATTTATAATCCATAATTCCATTTGTATGTAAAAATCGGAGAGCAAATGCTAGCTGCTAATGGTTGCCACCACAGCTAGCTGCTGCTTCTGCTAGGCTATGCAGCAGTCTCAGTAAGATATAAATATATTTGCGTTTTGGACTAACTTTAAAATATTCCCATGCTTTTGAAGACCTCGGGCGAGATGTTTTCGTTTGGGGGCTTCGTGCGCAATCCTGTGAGGAGGAGGTGGTAGCCGTTTCAGTCTCCATTGTGTTTGAAGTGCGATTGCGAACTGCTTGTTGCTTTGGGTGATCCACGTGTGTGTAGCGACGCGTCGACGCGGAAATATGTCGTCGACGATATTTTGAAGTCGACGCGTCGACGTCGTTGACGCGTCGCTACAGCACTACTATTACGTCTGCTATGGTAATATTTACGTAGATTTGGGAACTGCCCATCGATTCTATTGGTTCTGATGGTTAAGAAAAAGGTGTAAATCACACGAATCGACCAATGGGTTCCAGAGATATGGTCCTGCGCAAACTATAAAGAATGCCAGCCAGCGTAACAACATTACGCAGCCCACTTCATTTATTGTTTACAGCGTAAATAAGCAGGTATTGCAGCAGGACCCAGAGCGCACGGAGCACAGAGCGGACAGCAGATACCAGAGCAGATTACTATATTTGCGTTTAGGACTTTTTCTGTACTTTGACTTTTGTCAAATAATGGCTCACAGGAAAGAGATGCTTACTACTTTACAGGCATTGGAAATTGTGACTAATGTTGACAGCGATGCAGATATGTTACCTGTTGATTCTGAGTCAGACGACGAGGATCTCCTGCAGCCAGAACGGAACCCGGACCGTTGTGACTGATGATGAAATTCCACCACGGCAAAGGTATGAAATCTCTCTGTTTTTATCTATTACTTATTTATTTGGTGTACGATTATTCATATAGTAAATAAAAGCGTCTGCTAAATGAAATGCAATGTAGGCTAATGTAAATTCACACGCAAAATGGCATGTTTGTTAGGAATTAGAGGGGTTATTTACAAAAATACCAAATAGTGTTTATTGTCCGTTACATTTACTAAAAGTAGCCTATAGGCCAGTGTTCGTCTATAGTCACTAAATGTATTGCATTCACACACTTAAAATGCCATGTTTACTGCCAAGGAAACAGGAATTACAGGAATTCATCTAATCTCTTTGTTATTCCACATTTGTTTTCATAGTGATGGAGATGAGGATGAAATGACTTCTGGACCCCCACCATTGTCTACTTTCACCCAGCCCACACCTGCCTCACCCTCACATTCCTCAACTTCTGCCTCACCTTTCACTAGAAAGATATCTGCACCAGTATTGGCAACTCAGCATGCATCCAAAAAGCACTCACTTCCAAAGCTACCATCGTCTGCTTTCTACCAGCTTTCTGCAGCGTCAGACACATCTGTAAAACCCAGGAAGCGTGGCCGAGGTGGCGCTCCCACTCCTCAGCCAGGAAAAGGAAAAGCATCAGATAAATGTGTAAAACCAAGGAAGCGTGGCCGAGGTTCTTCCTCTTCCAGAACGACAGAAGAAGAACTTGGGTGGAACAACAGAGAGGAGAATGACCAAACACCAGAGCCACTGCATTTCACGCCAGCCAGGGTCCCAGGCCCAACCCCACTGTAGCATGGTCTCCCCTCTCCATTTTCAGACTTTTTTTTAGCGCTTCCGTGGTTCATACAATCATTACCAACACGAACGCCAACGCCCTGAAAAGACTGCAGGCTGGAAAGAAGCATGTTTGGAAAATGCTGACTGTGAGGGATTTCTATATTTTCCTGTCCATCATCATTTTCTCAGGCCTCATCGTCGTTCACAACCGATCGGACTACTGGAGGAAGAAATGGCCATATAACTTCCAATTCCCAGGTGATAGAATGTCCCAGGACCGTTTTGAAGCCATCATGTGGTCACTGCACCTGAGCAACCCTGATGAAGACAAGGAAAACGATCGCAAAAGGAACACCGCTGAGTATGACAGACTTTTCAAGATAAAGCCCCTGTACACGGACATCGTTGATGCCTGCAAAGCCCATTTCCAGCCCTATCAGAACATTTCAATAGATGAGAGGATGGTCGCCTCAAATGCCCGCATCAGCATGAAACAATACATGAAAGATAAACCAACGAAGTGGGGATACAAACTGTTTCTGCTGGCGGATTCCTCCACGGCATACACCTGGAACTTCTTTGTGTACACAGGGAAGAGTGCGTTCCTCTCAGGCCAGGGACTCAGCTACACCTCCGTGACCGACCTCCTGCCCCTCCCTCTGCTTGGTGCGGTCTACACACTCTTTGTGGACAACTTCTACACAAGCCCTGCCCTATTTGGGGATTTGTCCACAAAAAACATTGGCTGTTGTGGGACCATTAGAAAAAATCGAATTGGTTTCCCACAGACGGAGTTGAATGGCCTACCAAAAAAGGCTGAAAGGGGAGATCTGCGGTGGATAAGGGAAAGCAAACTCCTGTTCATAAAGTGGATGGACAGCCGTGAAGTGACCATGTGCTCCACAGTGCATGCAGCCTTCAGTGGAAAGACTGTCCAGCGGAAAGTGAAACAGGCTGGTGTGTGGCAGACTAAGACTGTTCCCGTTCCTGACGCTGTGTTAGACTACAACCGAAGCATGGGTGGCGTGGATGTATCTGACGCTTTGATCGGGTACTACAGCGTTCTCCACAAAACAATGAAGTGGTACAAGACTTTTTTTTTCCATTTTATGGACATTGCCGTGGTGAACAGCTTCATTCTCCACAAGGAGCTGTTCAAGATGAGGGTTGACCCCGGCAGGACAAAGCCACACACACAGAAAACGTTCAGGGAGCAGCTGGCTGCAGAGATGTTGGAATATGCTGAAAGCTCTGCACCTCCACCCCCCCCCCCACCCCCACCCCCACCACTCACATGCGGGCCCATGTTTTATGGGAAAGATTTCCGTATCAGGAAGAACTGCAGGAACTGCCATGATGCTGGCAAAAAGAGAGTGAAGACACCTTTGCACTGCGTGAAGTGCCAGGTCCCTCTGTGCTTGACTCCCAAAAATAATTGTTACCAGGAGTGGCATGCCAAAATGTTGTAACATTGTAAATGTTTAAAATAAATCTGCTCCAGTTGGAATCAAACTTCATTTTGTATGTTTTTTTAAAAAATAAAAAAAAAAAATGTTTTACAACAGTTGTATTTGGATGGAATGAATACGTATAGTGAAAATTCTAAGTAATACAATTATTTTTACAGTGAAAAAGGTCAAATGGAACTGTTGGTTCCCAAATTACCCAGAGGTGAGTCCGCTTGGACTTTATTTTTCTAAATCTCTCTAAAAAGGTCAAATGTCACTTGTTTTGCATCAATCTTGATACAGGGTACTTATTATATGTTATAGTTTGGATTCCTAAAGCTTTCTCTAACCCATCATGCAAGGGTGGTTTTCACTATAAGTAAAGGTTTTTTTTTTTAGGTGGACATTAGAATTTACATGTTTTTACTATGTTCCATCTGAATTTACTTTAAAATAAAAACATTTATATTGATTCTGACACTTCTACATCCAACTCACAGATGTAACCTTGCTTTGAGAAAAAATAATTATTAATTTACCCCTTTTAGAAGTGAAGATATATCATTTGTTGTGTTAGTGGCATTTTCGAGCCTGAAACCTGAAAAACAGGCTCAGGGCTTAACTGGTTAAAGGTCGTTTTCTCAAAATGAGTTTTTTCTCCTACTCTGAGTTCGAAATGTCAACTTCAGTAGCACGTAGATACACCAAACCTTCCAGTTATATTCCTATCAATATTATAAAGGCTTTTACAGAAGGGTTTGTTCATATATCATTCATAGCCTGAATTATACAACATTGTATACCTAAAAACATGGCGAAAATAGATGTTTTAGGGCTGTTGACAGTATTTTCTGATTTATGGAGTGATAAAAAGAGATATCCAATATCCCTTCTGTAAAAGCCTTAGATACTAATATGACTACAAAATGAAACAATAATTTTGAACCTGGCTTTATCCAAAGTTCAGATTTCGATTCCTGAAACGTGTTAAAATATGTGCATATTTAATGAGATAATGGTTAATTTGCATATTTAAACATGCTATTTCAGAAACTTGTAATACAAAAGACAATTGCCTTATTGTAAGTAATTAACTGGAGAACTTTCTAGCTGATACCTTTAAGTTAAAAAAATTACCCTATTCACCTGGGGTGTCTCGCCTTAAAGGTGAAACAGGGGCCTCTTGGGGTGTCTGTGTCCCTTCCACATGGATCAACACCGTCACAAACCAGGTCCAGAGATGTGTACGGAGTAGTCCTCGAGTCCCCTCTCAGTCCTCGAGTCCCCTTCATAGAAGGCTGCACAAACATGAAACAAAGGTTAAGACGGTCTTTTTTTCCCCCTTCAAAAACAAGTGTTCAGAGAAATAAAAAAAACCTCAATCATTATCATGTGTTTACAGTTTGTTAGTTTACTTCTGCAAATTGTAATGTTAATGACTATTATTTAAAGACTTTTGGGGCATTTCATGCCTTTATTAAATGTAGGCAGAGAGACAGGAAAGGTGGGGAAACAGAATAGTGGAATGACATGCAGGAAGTATGGAAAAACAGAGGATGAGAAATAGATCCTTTAAGACTTGAAAATCATCAGTGCCACAGATGATTTGAAGTATGCACACACCGTAAATGGTATACTTAGCACCTGCTTGGATCCAGCAACATAGTTTTGCGCCGCAGCTTGTGTTGTTGCTCAGGCGTGGCTCTGTCAGCATTGCTCTGCTTCTTCACCCCTTTTAATATAAATGGAAAGCATTAAATTAACCATTGATACAGACTGTCAAGATATACTGTCACTCAAAGTAAGTTGAAGAATTTGAAGGGTTAAAGAAAACAAACATTGGAACATACCAGGCACAGGTCCTGGCGGTGAAAGACAACACAAAAGTCAATAGGTGGGAGTTCAATGGAGAGGGTGCCACGCCCACAGAGGTTTATAAAAACCGAACAGCTGCGGTCACAGACGGGCAGAATTACATTTTACACGTGTGTTTTTGTCCAAGTGTGTTTGAAGCAAAGGCAATTATGATATACTTCTTTAGGTCAGATGTTTATAGTGATTTGTTTTAATACAATGAATATGTGTTTTATATTCTTAACTGCTGAAGGTCTTCCCAAATCCAAAAAAAGGTGTAGAATAACATGTATTTTGATATGAAAACTTGTCAAAGGGCAAAACATTTGCTGTGGTTTCAGACCTTGAATAAAAAAAACAAGAACATTAGCTAATAATAATGTTTTAACCCCGATTGTAAACCCAACGAGAACTTACTTAAATGAGTCTGGAAACTGTGGAGCACATTTTCTTCATCTTTTAAAACAGTTAACCACAGTCTAGTGATGTGCTCTTGTTCATTTCAGATTGTCTTTACTCGCCAATCAAGCGCAGATTCTTTGTGTTCTTCTTGTCTATAAGAGGAAGCAAGATATTAGTCTTATTTCTGTAATGATGTGTTGAACAGCAGATACAACTCCCTGTATTTAGCCTTAACTGTCAATAATGTACACAAGCTATTTAATATGTAATACTGCACACTTGAGCCAAATGTGTTAATCAATAATACAACTATTAATCATGTAACAGTTTTCATTATGATTTTATCCGTCAAGAAAAGCTAAATTAATTGCAAATAAAAAATGTATCCTTATCTAGTTTATTGCTGGCTAGCAGCTGCAACAGTACTTGTGCAGTACAATGAACTTGCAGAGACTGTAAGAGTTAAATAGGTGATGCAAGTACACTATTAACCTTTGAATTGTAGTGGGGTACAAGAACAAAGTAGCAAATTATTTTAATAAGGTAAAAGTCACTCAATGTTGTACTTAAGTACAGTGCATGATTACATATAGTGAATTACTTAACATCACTGCTTGATCGTAGCTGTTAATACAGGTCCCAAAGATTCATTTAGCATACTTAGAAAAGTATGCAAAAAAACACAACAGTGACAACAGATAACCCACAAGTACCACTACACCACAAGCACTGCAGCACAAGAGTTACATGTTTAATTAAAGGCTGAAGTTAAGCATTAATAACTGGCTGTTAGCATCCTTTGGTAACTAAACAGGAGTAGTCTAACAGCTAACTGCAGTTAGCTGCTATAAACAACATGACAAGCTTGGCACTTTAGCGCAACTCAAACGGTGTGTTATACTTTGAAAAAGAGTTAATTTGACACTTTGGGGAGACTGTTTAGGGAGAGATGAACTTAGCTAGCAGCGTTAGCCCGTTAGCGCAATGCTAACGGGCTAACCTATGGGGCTAACGCAACGATGCTAGCTGTTAGCCCGTTAGCACAATGCTAACGGGCTAAGACTGGATACGCTGCTAAGCTGTATCCTTTAATGTGTAAATAAATATCAGTTGTCACGCCAGTAAACAGTCTATGAACAAACTCAAACGGTGTGTTATATTTTTTTAAAGAGTTCATTTGACACTTTAAACTGAAACTTACCTAGCAGAAGTCAGAAGTCAGAGCAGAATAAATCTCCCGGGCTAGGTGTGACGCATCTGCTATTATTGATGCGTTCAAGGACACTCAGAAATGCTAAAGTTACCGATGAAGAGCGCTGGAAAAGAGACTAAATTAGAGTATTTTTTGTATTTATGTTATATATTTGTTTAATAATATAATTTGTTTAACTCCACAGTGTACAAATGTGAGTGGTCAGGATCCATTATGGAAAACACCGTCATGCATAAAGACTGACATGTAGAAACAGCCTTGGAAGTGTCAGTTGGAGTGATGACATCATTGTGTTCCATGACACGTGTTAGAGATCAAAGGTTTGCATTGTTCTGAATGAGAGATGAACCTCTTACATGTGAACGTTTTGTGGAAGAACCGTAACAGATATCTGTGAAATTTCAAAACGTGAAGCATGTCAAGGAAGTTGAGTATCTGAAGTGTAATTTGTGTGCACTTTCGGGTTAATAATGTGGCCTTTTTGGCAGTTTAACTAAAGGTGTGCGGCTGCTACAGTGAGGAAATATCTGCCTGAAATTACAATGGGCTTCAATGGAGGAATGTTGAACGTTTTTGTCACTTCATGCCCTCAAGAGGCATTTTGTTTAATATTTGTTCTTATTATTATTATCTTTTTCAACCTAGGAAAGGTTTTCCTACGTTTTCCATGAAAAAATATGTCTGAGGAGTGTAGGGTTTGGGAATTATGGCAAGTTTAAAATATTTTTGGGGGAGAATTTCAGGCACTGCTGCACCGTTTTGAGATCAAAGCACTCTAGAGTTAACGAGCTGCTCCATCCACTGTAATGTTAAAATCTGAAAAAGGCCTCTCTACCAAGCTCCAAACTAACATCAATATCTCAAAAAGATGAAAAGATATCAAATATATGTTTATACAAGTTGTATAGCTGAAGGTATTGTGATCATTTGAAAGTTGGAATGAAGTGTCTAGCTGAAAGTATGTGAAAGGAGTAGCATTTGGCGCAAAGTGTAGGAAAACAGGATTTGAAGGCATCTCCCATTGACTTCAATGTTAAAAAAAATAGTTTAAAAAGCTGAATATTTCAAAAAGTATAAAATATTTTGAAAAAGTTGAAGGTTTCCCATCGATTCCTGAACAGGCTGAATAGTTTAATATTTGAATGGTTTCTGTAGCTTAAAATAAGCAGAAGTTATGGAGAGCCAAAGTATTGGCTGAAATAAGGGGAAGAATAAAGATTTGAAGAACTATAGTGGAATGCTGTAAACAGCATTCGCACTAATGAGGAAGAACTGATGATTCAAATGTTGTAGTACAAGTAGTAATGTAGTTAGTGCATAAATGACTATTGCAACAAATGTGTTCATTTTCTTCATTATTAGTTGATTTTATTTGGACGAATGCTCCGGGCCAGTGGTTACAATGGTGGGGCCAGTGATAATACAATTGTACCCTTAATGTCTACCCCTGTTAGTTGTTATTTTGATAACGCTTGTTGCAGTGCTGCTGGGAGTTTTTATTTAGGTTTAGTTTTAGTGTTGCGTATTGTTTTTGTAAGATTGGGCTGACTGACTAAATTAGCTTAACGCACACTCAACCCCACTGCCATACACTTTATATAAAACGATTCTTACTATACAAAAATAATAATTAGAACTCCAGAAACATATTTCATCTTTATGGTTCCGTAGTGCACTTTGCAAGGGTACAGAGTTATATGCTCCTTCAGTCAGACCACGTTAGATTTTAAAACCATTTTCTCTGAATTAGTTGCAGGCTCAGGAGACTTGTGGTTGTCCACTCATCAGAAGGTTGAAGGTTCAATCTCTAGCCCTTGCTGTCAACAAGTCGTATAGAACACATTACACTGCTTAGTCGAATACTCGTTCTGATTGGTCAAGGACATTTCAGAGGTTTTTAAAACTCAACAACACACAGCTGCTAAGCAAAAATAATGAACGTTGCAGAGGAGGGAGAAAGGAAAGAGGTTGAAACACAGAGAGTGTTGAACGTCACATAAGTCACCAGAAGAAGACAGACAGGAAGTAAACATGGGCCGTTTATCAATGTCGAGTAAAGCTGCTGCAGAGCCACTATTTCAAGTATACTACGTCATCGAGTGGCGCCGAATGCTGGGCATTTAAACAGTCCTTCGGCTATATATATTAGGGCTGTCAAGTTAACGCGTTAATAACGCGTTAACGCAAAAAAAAATTAACGCCACTAATTATTTTAACGCGATTAACGCATTTGTATTTTTTTTCCTCGGCCGCCCCGTAGTTTCAGAGCGCATCGAGTTTAAAATACCATCGACAAGCTGATGCTGACAGCCCCGCTCCTGCCGCCCGCTTGTGGCAGACCACACTTCCACGCTCACCGGCAGGCACCGACTGGCCATCTGGAGGACCGGGAGGGTGTGTGTATGTGTGGCCCGAGCGAGCGAGAGAGAGACCTTACGTGTATTGTTGTTGTTAGCATCTGGTGCTAGCTAGCTGCGCTAATGGATATAAGGAGCTGTTTAAATGAAAACAGAGGAGCGACATTTCGCCGAGCACTTGACTTTATGCAGGAAGCCAGACAGTGGGACATTGCACGAAAAGTCAGCACACTCAGCACGGATAGTGCGCAACATGATTGCAGCGTCCAGGCAGCTCCCGTTCGAGCATATGCCTTGAGTTGCACATAGCTCCAACGATCCATCACACACGCACGCACGCACGCACGCACGCACGCACGCACGCACGCACGCACGCACGCACGCACGCACGCACGTACGCACGCACGATTAATCGCGATTAACTATTTTAATCGACTGACAGCCCTAATATATATATATATACAGTGGGGCAAAAAAGTTTTTAGTCAGCCACCAATTGTGCAAGTTCTCCCATTTAAAAAGATGAGAGGCCTGTAATTTTCATCCTAGGTACACTTCAACTATGAGAGACAGAATGGGGGGAAATAATCCAGGAAATCACATTGTAGGATTTTTAATGAATTAATTGGTAAATTCCTCGGTAAAATAAGTATTTGGTCACCTACAAACAAACAAGATTTCTGGCTCTCACAGACCTGTAACTTCTTCTTTAAGAGCCTCCTCTGTCCTCCATTTGTTAACTGTATTAATGGCACCTGTTTGAACTCGTTATCAGTATAAAAGACAACCTCAAACAGTCACACTCCAAACTCCACTATGGCCAAGACCAAAGAGCTGTCAAAGGACACCAGAAACTAAAGTGTAGACCTGCACCAGGCTGGGAAGACTGAATCTGCAATAGGTAAGCAGCTTGGTGTGAAGAAATCAACTGTGGGAGCAATTATTAGAAAATGGAAGACATACAAGACCACTGATAATCTCCCTCGATCTGGGGCTCCACGCAAGATCTCACCCCGTGGGGTCAAAATGATCACAAGAACGGTGAGTAAAAATCCCAGAACCACACGGGGGGACCTAGTCAATGACCTGCAGAGAGCTGGGACCAAAGTAACAAAGGCTACCATCAGTAACACACTACGCCGCCAGGGACTCAAATCCTGCAGTGCCAGACGTGTCTCCCTGCTTAAGCCAGTACATGTCCAGGCCCGTCTGAAGTTTGCTAGAGAGCATTTAGATGATCCAGAAGAGGATTGGGAGAATGTCATATGGTCAGATGAAACCAAAATAGAACTTTTTGGTAAAAACTCAACTAGACGTGTTTGGAGGAGAAAGAATGCTGACTTGTATCCAAAGAACACCTACTGTGAAACATGGGGGTGGAAACATCATGCTTTGGGGCTGTTTTTCTGCAAAGGGACCAGGACGACTGATCCGTGTAAAGGAAAGAATGAATGGGGCCATGTATCGTGAGATTTTGAGTGACAACCTCCTTCCATCAGCAAGGGCATTGAAGATGAAACGTGGCTGGGTCTTTCAGCATGACAATGATCCCAAACACACCGCCCGGGCAACGAAGGAGTGGCTTCGTAAGAAGCATTTCAAGGTCCTGGAGTGGCCTAGACAGTCTCCAGATCTCAACCCCATAGAAAATCTTTGGAGGGAGTTGAAAGTCCGTGTTGCCCAGCGACAGCCCCAAAACATCACTGCTCTAGAGGAGATCTGCATGGAGGAATGGGCCAAAATACCAGCAACAGTGTGTGAAAACCTTGTGAAGACTTACAGAAAACGTTTGACCTCTGTCATTGCCAACAAAGGGTATATAACAAAGTATTGAGATGAACTTTTGTTATTGACCAAATACTTATTTTCCACCATAATTTGCAAATACATTCTTTAAAAATGTGATTTCCTGGATTCTTTCCCCCCATTCTGTCTCTCATAGTTGAAGTGTACCTAGGATGAAAATTACAGGCCCCTCTCATCTTTTTAAGTGGGAGAACTTGCACAATTGGTGGCTGACTAAATACTTTTTTACACAACTAAATAAATGAATAAATATGAGCACACATTGTCTCACAAGCAAAAAAAACCTCAACCATATCCAAATCTGTATCAATCAAAGATTTCGAGCAAGGAACACCAACATGTTTGCATTGTCGGGCAAATGCATCTTTGATTGCAAACTGCAAACTGTCGGGAAGGTGGGGGCTCTCCATCTCCAGCTGCCGTGTTTGCTCCCAGCTGGGAAAACAGAATGGGGTGGTTGTGTTTCAGGTGCAGTTTAAGGTTGGTCGTATTGCTAGCTTTTGTTGCTAGCTCGTTAAAACAAATGTGACACCGCCCGGCTCATTCAAGTCCGTAGGTTCGCCTCATTGATTTGGCTTAAATCTAAAATATTCCCACACCGGAGATGGAGTTAGGTTTTGCAACCAATTCCATTTCACTTCAAATTCCCCTTGAGTAAGTCACACGTTGTTTCCTGCTTGTCTCTATATTATTCATTTGGCTGCTACACTGCTACACGCTGAGTGTCCTGACCTGGCTGTGTGTGAGCGCCGCCCCTCACAGCGCGCCTGGCCAGCAGCCACAGCGCACCTGGCTAAAATGCTGGTCACTTCCTTATGTAAACAAACACGCATGTAAACGGCAATTTATCGAGCTCAGAAAAGTTATCGAGTTCATATTTATTTATCGTACGATAAGTCAATTAATTGCTTATCGCGACAGGCCTAGACCCAAGCAACACCCCTGTCTGGACCTTTAACTGAACATGTGAAGTTGCTTCTTTTGAATGTGTGCTGTTAATAATGTATTTTCTAGAGAGTATGGCTGTCCTTTTACAGTTTACATTTTCAAGTGATATAAATGTGCAGCCCTGCTCTGAGACTGTGCCTGATGTTGTCCACCCCACCTAATAATGTCTAGACCCGCCCCTGGTTTTGGTCAAATCAAGAAAATTAAGTTGATAATTTATTAAGGCACACAAAATGTTTGGCCCTAATCCTCTTCCATAGTCATCTTTATTGATTTGCAAAAGGTTCTCGGAATAGTTTAATTCAAACCAAATATATTAAACTGCCAGCAACCCCAGCTATAAACCTTACGGTCCTATGGCATTTACCATATCCCCTTCACCCTGTTCACATCAATGTGACATATTTACTTTGAAACCCAGAGGATGTTATAAATAACCGAGCAATAATCAGCTGGTGACTCATCGCTAACAGTGAGGTAGGAACAACAGAGAGGGTGTGACATCACAGCCTCCTCAGCTCAGGGAACTATGGAAACGGCTCATCCCACTCACCGACAACTGCACGTAGCCTGCTGCATCACTAACACTCTCACCTCAGAACTCACTCTTATTATTACTCTAAATATTCCAGCTTTAGGCTATACGGTTGTGGTTTCAATTTAAAAATAAATAAAAGGACCTGAACAAAATACTTATGCGAGTGTGTTTTTTCTTCCAATTTGTTCAAATTAATAATTGTTTGGATTTTCAAAGACACCGTTATGGATACACCCCGATGTGTCACGCCTAAACTAATGGCTTAAATAGGAAGCCTGAGGTTGGAGATGTGGACCTAGCAGCTAGCTGTAGATACATGTAAACACACCGCTGTGAGCTTCCTGCTCAGATGAAAACGAGCTGTATTTATCTGGGAACTCCCAACGTTAGCTAATAAACACATTGTACACAAGCTAACGTTAGCTTCCGCAATCTATTGCGCTGCTGTGTTTTGACAGGTTTCGACAGATCGAGTCTGAGCTTTGATAGCTTTAATCGAACTTGTTGTAAGTGTACTGAAAGCTTGCAACCCAGCTCGACGGAAAATGTTTAAGAGATAAGCTTTAAAGATAAAAAAAAATGTACCTGTTCGCTGAGTCTGGAAGTATTTCAATCGCCTGACAGACAGGAGATGAATGTCTGCTTTGCAAGGAGTCCGCATCCAACCACACTTCCGCTTTCAGAATAAAAGCTCGTTCACCTAAAAACGTAACATTCACAGAATATGCAATCACACGACACACACCGACACACCGACACACACACACACACACACACAAAACGTATATGATCCCATCCCTCAAATGGCGATTAAAAACAAACAAAACGTTTTTTTTAACGTGAGGCTTTTATTCTGGAAATATGACAGGAAGTCTCAAATTCTCGATCCGGCTACTGGTGGATCTGGAGTCAAAATGCACATCTTGAATCGCTACACTAGTACGAGTGAGTACGAGTTGTTTTTGTCTTCGTGTCTGCGGCATTCTGAAAGCATGTGAACCCACAGCTACAGGTTAGTGGCGCTATCGTGTTAACAGCTAAATTATCGTGCCTGTCTGCATACGCATAACGTTACAGCAACCTTTCCAAATCCAAAAGAGGTAGGTTTGCGCGTGGCAAATGTGCACGCCCAAATTAGGTAATCAGAGGAAATGGAACCACAGTAATTGCAGGTATAAACCATCACTTTTTGCATTTTTCACAAAAATTGGTCATACAATGTTCAGTCACTTTAGTGCTTGGTATGAGAAGTTCAGGGTCTGGTTTCCAGTTGCAGCAGGTGCATTTTTTGAAGATGTTTATCTTCCCTGCCAACAGACCTTCGTGTGCTTCTCTCCTCTCCGCGATACCTTGATAAACTCGTGATCTGCTGTCCACTTGGCTTACACATTGTCCCACCGCTTGGTGGGCTTCTTCTGCTCGGGGGTCCTATTCATCGCGGAATTTCCATATCAAAACCTGTAGCTGTGTGCAGGGCCGGCCCTGACCAATTTGCTGCCCTAGGCAAGATTTTAGCTGGTGCCCCCCCCACCACCACATGCAGACACTCACTTTGACTCGCGCATGCATGCACGTGCACGGTTGTGGCATGACCACCAAAACAGAAAGAAATGGACACAAGATGTGTGTAAATGTATTTAGTATCCTATCCAGTTGAACATGATTTAAGTGGGGGGTGGACCTAACATCCTCTGGGTAATATTGAAGTTGAAAGCATCAATCTGGTGCACTTTGAGAGCAACATTAAGAGATCTATGGATACATCTCTCAACACCCATATGAAACAGAACTGTAAACAGATTTTATTTGTCTTTATGGATATTTTACTCTTTTTTTCACTCCCCTTTTAAACTGTATTCTTGTTTATTAATAACAACTTTTTTGTACTGTCGTATATTATTTTATACCTGTTTTTCATCTATTCTCTTATTTTGTTATAACTATAATGATCATATAAAGGTGTACCTTTACCTCCCTGAGCTGAGGTTATCAGAGCCGCTCAGTCTTTCAGGAGAGAGCTTTCTAAAGCTCTCTCCTCCCCCCCCCCCCCCCCCCCCCCCCCCCCCCCGCGCCCGCTTACACAGTAAATTCCAATGTTAATAAAAGCACACCGAAGCTGTATACGTTTTTTGGGAGTTTGATTTATTTTAAATTAACACAAATCACGTGATGAACAAATCCAATTTCATTTGAAGCCAAAGTCGAGTCCATTGTCTATGGTGCGCCAAGGGGCATTTTTATTTTTGTAATAATAAATATTAATAAAATGCTTTTAGTGCTCATGGTGCTGCTGGAGCACCCTGCTCTCCTGCCGAAGCACCCGGCCGAGCACAGTCTCTTCTACTTCCTGGAGTGTTCATAGGCCAGGCCAGGCCCCCACGAAGAGCGCCAGGCTTCTTGCACATTTTGTAGTGGTAATACAGGTGCATTTCAACTAACGTGTCTAGCACGTTGTGTCTTGAAACCCAAAAATAATTGTTTGTTTCCCCGTTGACTTACATTAGGAAAGACTGCCTTGTAAATCTTGAATATCCATTAATTATGCCCTAGCCACACGGTGACGAAACGGGCCGTATCCGCTACAGTTCTCTATCTTATAGACCAGGGGTCGGCAACCCCTGGCACGCGTGCGGGACCGTAACCAGTGGCACACTAGGAATAAGTGTGCAAAATATTTAAATTGTATTTTCGGATCCTGAACGAGACCGCCGGCAGAGCGCGTCTCCCCCTGCAGAAGGAAGCCATGCACACAACGCAGCGCAGAAGTATAACTTCTAGGCCCCGCTCTCTTTAACTCTAGTCGACTTTCTGCTGCTTTCCTCCATGGTGAAACGATCAGGGAGGAACTACCATTGCAGTACCCATAAGGAGCTGTACATTGCCGCAGTTTTTGCGTGGCTGTGTCTTTAGTTGAAAGCCCAGTGGCAATCTGCTCATCTGTCATCGAAAATAATATGCTACACAGGGGCGGATTGGCCAACTGTGTGTTCTGGAGAATCACAGTACGTCCGGCCGTCAGCTAACCGAGCCGGTCGCCCAGCGGCCGTTGACGGCCGGGCTCAGTTCGCTGACGGCCAGCACCACCCTTTATTTATTTAACTGTGTTTAAACTGCATCATGTAAGTTGCTCTGACAGGCGACAGAGGTCCACAGCTTCCCCGCAGCGAGGCTCCCCCCGCCCTCCAGTTGACAGTTCACGAGCGCCCCCGCCCCCCCGTTAACAGTTCACGAACGTCGGCACACTAATAAAACATTTTTTTTAATTGGCACTTCATATCAAAAACGTTGTCGACCCCTGTTATAGACGGTTCGGCCACACGAGGCCGACAGGGAAATGCGGATAACAATAACGGGTCCCAAGGTGGGTAGATCTGCGGACGCAACGCTCTGGGGGGCCAAACGGCTCCGTGATTACGCCCTATACGATCATTTCCTGATAACGAAAATACTGACGGGCTGTCAGGAGAGGGGGAAGAAAAGAGAGACTCCGTGTATTATTCTTATATTATTATATAGAGTCGTTATTAATTTGTTTTAAAGCTCAATAAATAACAAAGAAGACAATTGACCGGCACTTTTATAATTTTGTCCGGAAGATTTCAACTTTATTTAAACATGTTGACCGCCGGAAAAAAATTCTAACAGAAACTGCCACACGGTTCCCTCGTCCCTTGATCGAGGCGGAGAGGTGGGTGTTTTTCATCTGCTAGTGGACTACCGAGGAGATTTACAGCCAGGGGCGCCGTAAGGGGGTGAAAAGTTAGGACGATTCTCAGGGCCTGTGACTGACAGAATTGTAGAACATAAAGAAAAAATGTTTAAGTAACCTTTCATCAATCATCAATAATTAACATTAATATAACATTATTGATAATGTACTCACTAAACTTACGATTCATTTCACTTTTTTTGTTCGAAAAGTTAATTATCCAAAGCATCGAACACCCCCCTCTATTTACATGTAATGGTTTGGTCCTGTCTCCAAACGCTGTGCGTTCAAAAAAGAAAAGAAAGGAGAGAAAGACAAGAGAGTTTTGCTCTGATTTAGCACCACCATCAGGCCTTTTTATTTCCATTTCCGTTTTGTTGTCCATTTACACTTTAATACCCGCTTATTTTGTAGTTGGTATGTATATTTAATTAGAAAATCTGCTGCTTATGTTATATGTTAGAAATGATAATATTGGTGTTAATGTTCACTTTATTTTAATTTAAGAGGTCATGTATATTTAAGTTATACTTATTTAGATTTATGAATGTTCCATTCAAAAATGTTATTAAAAAGGCATGTACACCATAAAAGATGACTATTGAGGTCTATTGTCAGGAATGTTAGTGTTATATCAAATAGTGAATTATAGGGATGCTCCGATCGCCGATCCGATCGAGTGGGCGGGGCCTAAATGGAAGATTTAAACATCACTTTAAATCTTCCATTTAAAGTGATGTTTAAAACTCAGTTAATGGGGCTCATTCACTGGAGCTTCCACAAACAACAATCAACTTAATTATTACATTCAAATGATGTACATTATTCAAGTTTACATTCACTTTGGATAATAACACGAGAGAAATGAGCGGAAGCGCTCTCTTTTCCTGTCTCCCTCTCTCTCTCCCCCCTCTCTCCCCCTCTCTCCCTCTCTCTCCCTCTCCTGACAGCCTGTCAGTATCTCATGCAGCTCACTGATCCAGTAATGAGTGACCCGACAGTGAAGAATATATATATTTATAATGACTAGTTTAGCTTGTTCCAGAGGTAGATAAAATAGCTAAGTGTGTTAGGTCTAATTCTTGTGTGTTTCGCTCCGCTTACCGGTCCGGCGGGCGGAGCTGCAGGATTTCTGCTTCACACACGTTGCATACCGCTATTTTACTGTCTTTTTCGGACACCTTAAAATAATGCCAGACCGGTGAAGCCATTTTGGCGAGCTTGTTTTGCCACACACAGAGAAAAGTGTCATGTATTTTACGTCATGCGATCGGCTCTCGCGATCGGCATGTTTAGTAGTGCTGGGGGGAAACGATTATTTTGAAAACGATTAATCGGGCGATTATTTGATCGATTAGTCGACTAATCTAACGATTATTTTTCTGTTGTTCAATTCATAAAAAACGTAATGTAAAAAAAACGTAATGTAAAAAAAATTGTTTTCACAATACTGTGTCTCAGGGGATCTTAATATTTAAGAACCTATTAATGTGTTATACCAGATTAACGGAAATAATCTCAGCTAACTGACGATACAAACCATGTTTACCAAAACAAAACACAAGTCTCATAAGAAGCATCTAAATGACCCCTGAGCGAAAAATGCTAACGGACATTGGCACAGAACTCAAGATAAAAGTACCCTTATTACTTATCGTAGCTGCACATACAATATATCCGATTAAAGCTGAGACTCCACAGATTATGTAGGTATATAGTATCATCACTGAGTGATCCGGACTCGCGACAGGGGAAGCAAATACAGTCATCACAACACGTACCTTCACAGAGCTTCTCGGGAGATCGTCTCACCACCGTAATCTGATCAAAAGACGTGTTCAATGGCAATAAAATGAGAAAAAATGCGGCTGAATCGGTTAATCCATAGGTTTTTAACGTCTATGTATAAAAAAATGATTGAATTTATAATCCATAATTCCATTTTATGTAAAAATCGGAGAGCAAATGCTAGCTGCTAATGGTAGCCACCACAGCTAGCTGCTGCTTCTGCTAGGCTATGCAGCAGTCTCAGTGAGATATAAATATATAAATATCTTTGCGTTTTGGACTAACTTTAAAATATTCCCATGCTTTTGAAGACCTAGGGCGAGATGTTTTCGTTTGGGGGCTTCGTGCGCAATCCTGTGAGGAGGAGGTGGTAGCCGTTTCAGTCTCCATTGTGTTTGAAGTGCGATTGCGAACTGCTTGTTGCTTTGGGTGACCCACGTGTGTGTAGCGACGCGTCGACGCGGAAATATGTCGTCGACGATATTTTGAAGTCGACGCGTCACTACAGCACTAAT